AGGGGGGATATGATCTCCATGTACAAAATGTTCAATGGTGGTAGCAACATTAGCGATAAACTGTTTAAAATTAACTCCATTACAAAAACTAGAGGCCACCACCTAAAATTGGTGGAAAAAAAATTCCAGCACAAGGGGCTTCTTCACAGTAAGATCAGTTAGGGTCTGGAACTCACTGCCACAGGTGGTGATTTCAGCAAATAATGTGGAATTGTTCAAGAAACGTTTGGACGATTTCTTAAGGGACCGTAATATACAGGGGTACAGGTACTCCTAGAATGAGATCCTAATAGGTTAGACTTGATGGACTAATGTCTTTATTCAACCTCAAATACTATGTAACTATGATGGATGCCTAAACACTTTGAGAATGCTTTGTATCCCTTTTCAAACTTATACAGATCAACTATTCTTGATCATATGTCTTCAGAGAGCTCCTTTTAGGATTTCTGTTCATAAAAAGCATCAGTTGATGCTTCTTATGAGCAGAAAAATTAAAAGGTTTGAGTGTCTTATCAAAGTAGCTTTAAACTTCACCTCCAAACTTGTTTCATTAATTATACCCAAGGTGTGCAAGCTACTGACTAATTAACTTTCGTTATAGTCTATGAATCACTTACTTTTCCTCCAGCACTGTTTAATGGGTGTGTTCAATAAAGATATGGGAAATTAGAACAGTTTGTGCGTTATCACTTAAGCACATTGTGTTTGACTATTGTTGTGACTTAGATGAGGATCAGAACATATTTTATGGAAAATTACTGCAGAAAGCCAGTTAATTCCAATGGGTTCACATACTTTTTCTTGCCACTGTATATTAATGTTTAAACAAAAAGGTGTGAATTGCCCATTACTATTATTATTTTCGTCAGATTGTTCATGGGAAGACAAAACCAGATCTTTGGATCAATACTTTTAAGCAAATGATATCTAAGCTTTGTTGTGTTTGGACACAAGACAGAAAGGATTTGGTGTCATTGCTTTAAATGTAGAAGAGCAGGAAAAGATGAGTAAAGATTAGTTTAAGGGTAAGTTTAGCATTAAGGTCAGAAATTACGGGGTTTAGTTTAACATTTTAGGGTTAAGGTCAACGTTACCTTTCAGTTTTCCTCAAGAGGTCTTAGGGACTCCAGGGGACTCTTCTCCCAAAGGGGAAGTGGGGTTGTTAAGGCTTAAAAGGTAAGTGTGTTATAACTTATAAGGATAAGAGTTTAGGCATTATTTAAGTGGTTACATGAAATGTTAATATAGGGTGAGGTTAAGCGCAACGGTTTTGATTTATTTTTAGGAACACATTTTGGCTTAGTGACAGGCAGCGAGACATCAGCTCTTTTCCTTGTCTTTAGCATCCAAAACCACATGCTAAAAAAAACAGCGCTGAGCTCTTGGCACTGATATACATTACCATGATCAATTCTTAATACCTCTACCATGAATGCACAGAATACATAACAATATAAACAAAATATGCTAAAGTACATGCAATAGGAGTATTCTAAACAATTCATTTTCATTTTCTTTCAATAGATTAAAGGCATAGGTAGGTAAATGTTTTTGATTCCTAATACAATTCAATTACATATAGTAATGCAGAACAAGACAGGTAATTTTCCATACATTCTCTATCAGGAAATTGGCGTGGAATGAGATTCTCAATTTAAACCATGTCATTTTATAATGTAAGGATCATTCTATAGCAAAGAAGGGAAACGTGAGTGTCAAGGCAGCCTAAAAGATAAAACCTGACATCCTGGAGCAGGTACAGAAAATTGCCTTGAGCTCCTTGCCAAGTGTTAATTGGAAATATAGGGGTTGATTTACTAAAGGTAAATAGGCTGTTCACTTTACAAGGGAATTACCTTATCTTAGTGAATGTGGCGAAAATTCACATTGCTAAAAATACCAGATTACGTTGAAGGAAAATTAAATACAAATATACTATATATATTTGCTTTCATATAATTGGATGATTAAAGTCAGCAGAGCTACACTTAATTCACCAAGCTTAGTGAATTCCCTTGCAAAGTGAAAACCTATTTGCCTTTAGTAAATCCACCCCATTGCATTGCATAATTTCAGATATGGGTATAGCTAAAGAACTAACTGCACTCGTTAGCATTTATCAAACCACTGGCCCTACTAAATAACTATCATTATATTTCAACTCCGAACTAGAAATGCCATTTGTTTTATTTGCACTCCACATCTCAAAACATGCATTCTGTTTCCATAGAAGCAAAGACAACCTTGGCTGCCTACCAGCAGTGAATCATCATGTAAAAAGCCTAAAAACAAAAGGACTTAAATAAAAGTCTTCTTGTATACAACATTGAAACATGTGCCTAAATTTAGTAAGGTGGATTATTTTTAGTCTTGCAAGGATATACTACAGGCAGCC